AAATTATCTGCATGACATTTACCAGCAATAAAAACTCAGTAAAAACACCAGGTTTTTTTGTGCAAGTGGCAGAATTCAAACATCATCTATTTCAAGGCCTAAAAACAAACTGTCATTTCACTGTGTGCTCAAATGTGATCAAAATGTTTAAAAATACAAATCATTATTTGGTCTACAATGGAACACTGATTTTTAGCACACAGGAATAGACAAAGTTATATCCAAGATTGAAAATTTCTAAGAAAAAAGCTCAAGTACATTTAACTAATTTACAGCTGCAGCAGAAAGACGTAGACATTGCCAAAGTTTCAAGTTAGTGGTGTATAAAAAAGGCAAAGTTCGGCACTTTTGTGAGTTCATTCAACAGCTTTTAAGTTGAGTTTCTCTTTAAAAGCAAAGGTGCCAATCCAGGGCTAGAAGAAAACCAATTAAAAGTCAAAGGTTAATTGCTCAACACTAAAATAAGAAACAAGTCTGTAGAACAGAAATGTTGGTCAAGTATTTGCTTGTAATTTCTTTGTCCACTGTCTTCTAGGTACTCCCAACAGGCTGTGTTTGAAGAAGATTACTGTAAGCTGCAGAACCAAAAACAAAACTTGATTAATGGCTTTGCAATAAATACTTTTGAATAGAAACTCCACTTCTGAATTTACTAGATGATCATCCACCCATTTCACTTCAGGGGCAAGATGGTGGTGGGATGCAGTGGGTAGGATCCCTATCTCTGGGCTAGAAACTCTGGTTCAAATCCCACTCAGCTACTACCTGCACCTAACTTGGTACTGAGGAAAAACAAAAATAAAACAGAAGTGAATGCCACACCTACTCCTGGAGCCACATTTATGCCCCAAAAGAAAAAAAGTCAGGAATGGGTGCAGCAATTGGAAAGAAATGGAGGTCACTGGACTGAAAACTTGGAACTCCCCTTCAAAGAAGGGGGAGAAAATAAAATAAAAAGAGACCCACACAAACTTGCCATGGTTGACGAGAGATTCAAAGTAGCGATGACAATTCTGCTTGTACATCAGGGTCACAGGAGCAAATACAACCCTGGTCTGACCAGAGTCAGTTCATCACACTAGGTCTGATACAGCAAGCTCAAATATTGCTGGGCTTAGAAAAGGCAGAACAGAAATACCAGCAATACAGACCATTGTGAACCACCCCTTTCCCACATCAGCTTAATGCATATAATGGTGTGTTAACACATGCTGGGGCAGCATGGTGGCTCAGTGGTTAGCACTGCTGCCTCACAGGACCAAGGACCAGAGTTCACTTCCAGCCTTGGGCAACTGTGCAAACTCCAGACAGACAGACAAACATTCTCCCTGTATCTGCATGGGTTTGCTCCAGGTGCTCTGGTTTCCTCCCAGTCCAAAAACATGCAGGTTAGGTGGATTGGACATGCTAAATTTCCCATACTGTCCAGGGATGTGCAGGCTAGGTGGATTAGCCATAGGAAATGCAGGGTTACAGGGATAGGAAAGGGGTTGGGTGTGGATGGGATGCTCTTCAGAGGGTTGGTGTGGACTTAATGGTCTGCTTCCACACTGGAGGTGATTCTATTCTATGGGCTAATCAAACAATAAATGCTCCAAGTCAAAATTATATTAATGTCAATCACAAAAAAAGGTCCCTTACGATGTGGGGAAGAAGCGATTGAACCATGTAAAAACTTGGAGGTTCAATTGATTAGCTGCTTGAAATACCAGTGTTGATTTACATCAGACCCAGAACAGAAACTACCTAGTATTTACATACAGGCAGTCTCCAGATTATGAATGGGATCCATTCAAGTATGTACGTAAATTGATTTATACATGGGTTCAGAACATAATACAAAACAAACACAAACAGTCATTTGTAAAAGAATTAAAACACTCACATCAGATCTTTTAATATTAATACAGGATCTTGTATCTTCAAATGTCCATTAATCAGGAACCACCTGTAATTTTAGCTGCTTCCTTTAAACTACTGCCCCCACGCTGCTTTAAAAGTTGGCAAAGTACCAAGTAATTGCTCATTTCAGTTCAAGTGTCGAGGCAACTGAATTTAAAAGGTACATTTTCCTTATTTAAGGTTTATTGACCTGAATACTGGTTCCAGCAGTAAAACACAAATTGTATGAATTTAGGTCCATTTGTTCCAAGCTGAATGTAGAATTACATATTCTCTAATCTGCCACACATCCTCTAGTTTCCAATTCATTATATAAACAACAAAATTGGTGCAGACCATCCAGCTTGTTCTGTCATTCAAACAGATCACAGCTGATCCATATCATAATTCTACCAACTCACCTTGTGTCTCTCAATGACCTTGCCTGTCAAAAATCTCTCATCTCCAAGATTTCAGTTGATTATAGCCCCAGCTTTTGGTTATGTAAGAGTTTTAGGCTTCTACAACCATATGGTTGAAGAGGTGTTTCCTGACAGCCCCGGTGAATAGCCCAACTCACTACTGTACTACTCCCTCTTGTTCTCAAATTCCTCACCCAAGGCAAGTTATTTTCATCTATTGACCTATTTGTTTAACAGCACAAATCAGATCACCATTAACCTTCCATATTCAGTGGAATTTAAGATGAATCTAAACCACATGGTGAAAACAGAGTTATGGTTCGTGAAGCATTTGGTAGTGTCCATTCCTCTGAGCCACAAGACCAGAGTTCAAGTCCCACCGGCACCAGAACTTCATAACAGATCTGGACAGGATTGGTTTGAACCAATCAAAACAAAATACTTCTTGACTAAATTACATAGGCCAATTAATGTTTCTAGCACAGCCTTCATCCTCTGCTGAATGCTCATACTCCTGGTTGAGAGAGTGCGACAAGGTTACTGCATTGTACCAATTTCAACAGGCCAGCCAAGAGTTTCAGGAAAGCTTATCAATGGTACATCTAAATGACTGAGGGATTGAGAGTGGTGGGTGCCACTGGAGAGAGCAATTGTTGTCCATGGCAAGCTGGCCAGAGGTGATGGCATTTGTGGCAATGAGAGGCTGAACCTTGAACTCCTACTGTTTACTCACGGACCATGTTGACAGCCTTTACAATCTTTATTTTCAATCCAGCAATGAATCCTCTTTATCCTACTTGCCTGCTCGCTTCATCTCCGGAACCTTCAACAAACTGAAGTTAAATCCATCCCAACTACTTAGCGTGCACAGTGCCCATAAAAAATAAGTCAGCACACAGTTAATAACATTGACATTTCAGAATGACATGGTCGTTCCACTGTTTCACACTCACAGAGTGCACAAGAGGGGAGGATTCAGGTTGAATCCCAACTCAAAGCTTAAACAAAGTAGAGAACCAGGTTCCAGCTCTCAGTAAGAATGGAGCAAAGTGAAAAAAGAGGCAGACTTGAATTGATTGCAGTTGTATTATTCCACTTTGAAATTCATTAGCATTTCAGATAGGAAAAGTTATGCTGTTATACTTGACTGCAAAACTGAATACATACACTGGGGGTCCTCTTGCTGACCACGTACATTCTCTTGCTTGGTGTTCTGCTCAGTTGAGTTCCCTGGTAATAAAGAAAGAGTGGATAAGTTGAGCATTAAGAGTAGTTGTGTTTTGTTTCCTGTAAGTTTGGTTGGTTGAGGGAAAACCTGGTTCTCACTTGATCCAACTGTTCTGACAGATTCCTGGTTGGCCTCACACATTCTTATCATTCCTTTAATAAAACTGAAGTTATTCAAAACTCCTAACGTGCCTTGAGACCCATTCACTCATCATTCCTGCGCTTGTTAACTCAGTAGAGTATTGTTAATTTTGAAATTTCCCTTAGTTATCATATCCTTCCAGGCTCCACCTTGTCCATCACCATAACTGCTCCCAGTCCCACCCAGTTACAATTACGTATTCAGTTGCCCAACATCCTTTATCTTCTATGCCCTTTTCTCTCCTTTAAGATGGATCTCAAAATCTACATCATGAAGCAAGCGTTTGTTCACCTGGCCTTACATTATGTCTGTGTCAAATTTTGTTAAATATTGTAGCACACCACAAGAGGTCTTGTACAAAAGCAGTCACAGACAAACTACAGTTAGGACACACAGTTACCCAATGATACACAAGTCAATGCTCGCTCATTCCACAAATATTCCAACTACTTTGACACAGCAGTTTGATTTTAAGCTCAGCTCCAGGACAGAAACAAAGTTCCCCTAACCTAAAATCGCTTGACCAGTATTGGGCATGATGGAATGGTTAGGAGGAATCCTGCTGAATGGAAAGCAGATCGGCTCAACAGTTCCTGCAACCAAATTTATACAGCCACACCACATGCAATTTTGCAAATTGTTGTTATTTCACTGGGGGAGGTGATGGTCTAGTGCTATTATCATTAGACTAGTCATCCCGAAACAAGGTAATGCTCTAAGACACAGGTTCGAATCCCACTACGGCAGATTGTGGAATTTGAATGCAATACATATCTGGAATTAAGAGTCTAATGATGACCATGAATCCATTGTTGATTGTTGGAAAAACCTTATCTGGTTCACTAATGACCTTTAGGGAAGGAAATCTTCCTTACCTGGTCTGGCCTACATGGGATTCCAGACTCTCAGCAACGTGGTTGACTCTTAACTGCCCTCTGGGCAAATTAGAGATGGGGAATAAATGTTGGCCCTGCCAGCAACACCCTCATCCAGTAGATGAATTTAAAGAAAGTGTGCCTGCACTGTTTGGAGGAGACAGCCATAAAAATGAAAACCGAGCTCCCTCAAGGTGCATTTATACCGAGCAAGGTCTGTATGCCACCGATAGCATACAGAAACCCAGAACTCAGCATCGGGACCAGTCCTGAAGCTACAGGTCAGCTGAGTGAAATACCCTGCAAGAGGGTGTATTACTTTGCTCAGTTGTGTTCTCATTGTCACCCTGCATTTGTGAAGACTGATTTTGACTCAGCTCCATTTTATCCTCACCATTATAATACCAGATGACTTTTTAGTTTTAAAAATTTATATTGCTTGTCAAAAGATGATTTTGGGGCCAATACTACCATTCCTGGCCCAGACAATTTGGATGGATGCTCAAACTATACTCCACTAAATGGTAGCTAAACCCTGCCAATACCTGGTGATCTCACACTCTGTTCAGTAAAGCCTTCAGTTAAGAGCTTGAAGACAAAAAAGGAAACCTGCTTTAAAAACAAAGTACTCTAAACTTCATGGTGCATCCCAGTGTTTCTTTTTGCTTGCTATTAATGAATGGGCTAAAACATGGTAGATGGAATAGAACGTGAATAGTCTAAAGTTATTCATTTTGGTAGAAAACACAAAGCTGAAAATGTCTTCAGTAGCAATAGGTTTAAGTGCTGCCATCCATAGGGACGTGTCCTTGTCCATAAATCCCTAAACAGTAGCATGTGGGTACAGCAAACAATCAAAAGGTCAAATGGTATCATGGTCTTCATTGCAAGTTGACTTGAGTTCAGGAATAGAGATATCTTGCTGCAGTTGTAATGAACTTTGGCGAGACATCACGTGGACTATGGTGTCCAGCTTTGGACTCCTAGGTAATGAATCTGAAATTCTTTATCGCAGTAGACTATCAATGCTGGGTCATGAAGTAATTTCAAGGTTGAGATAGACAGATAATTAATCAATAAGGGAACCAAGGTTATAGGGAAAAGGCAGGAAGGGGAACTCAAGGATTCAAATCAGCCATGATCTCATTGAATGAGGAAACCAGGTCTGTATTCTGTAGAGTTTCAAAGATTTGAGGGGCAAACTCATTCAAACTTAGAATTATTGCAGGGCATGGTAGGGTTTACACAGAATGATTCTCCTAGCTGGCAAGCATAAAAACCTGGGGTTGAATGGAGACTGAACAGAAGTTCAAATCATTGCTCAAGGTGGAAACCAATAGCTTTCTGTATACTAACAACCAAGGGCATGGAGATAGTGTGGGAAAATGGCATTGAGGTAGACAGCTAGCCAGGATCTGAGTGGCAGAGTGGATGTGATGGACTGAAGGACTCACTCCTTTGCCACGTTCCAAAACACACCCTAGTTCCCAGGGAATTTGGTGTAAGCAAGATGATCCACTTACTGTGGATACCAGAAAATTTATGCTTTCCAGTACCGTGCATTTGCAGCTCATTTCCGTCACCTGGTACCAAGGGCAGAAAACTAAAACAAAACAAAAACACAACCCACTGAGGTTAGACCTATTCTTTATTATAGAATCAGCTGCTCAACAGAAAGCTAACAGATACTGAAATGCGGATGTGATTAAAGAGTTCCTCAAACACATCTTCGTGTGTAATTTCCAAATTTCTAGATTAGATTTTGCTGCTATAACTTTCGTGCTCCTCAAATACTTCTTGTATTTGAGAGAAGAGCACGAAATTAACTTGGAAATTCCAAAACAACCTCACCTGTCAAAGAGAAACACAGCTTCTTCTTTTGGTAAAGGATATAACTTGATACTCCACCACCCAAAGCCATCAGGACAGCAGTGATAACACCAATAAGAGTACCATTGCCACCATCTGAAAAGGAGGTTTTGGAGAGAAAAGTTATGTAATTCATCCTTAAAAAGTTCCCATCTATTAAATATTTTTAGATATGATTCTTGCCCCTAGACAAGTGTCAGATCCACAAGGTGGCAGCAAGGTAGAGCACTTGAAGCATCTATAGCAGCTCCCTCTAGTGATAGAAGGCACACAGTCTCAGGAAAAAAAGGTGCCAATTTAAGACCGAGGGAAGGAAGCTTTTCTCTATCAAAGGGCTGTTTGTCTTTGGAAATCCTTACCATAAAGCTGCAGGGACAGTATTTAAAAAGGTTAAGATTGATTCCTCCACTGATCAATAATCTATGTTTATGGGAAAGGGTGGGAAAGAGGACATGACAATTGCCAGAGATTGTAGGAACTGCCGATGCTGGAGAATCTGAGATAACAAGGTGTAGAGCTG